CCCTTTTTGATAATGGCAAACAAGACGGGGTTATGCATAGGAGGATTGATTTGAGACTTGAAAAGTGTTCCCCCAGGTGTTCCCCCTTAATAAATGCAATTTTCTTTTCAACAAATTTTATGTGTTGAATAAGAGTTAGTTTTAGAAAAAGTTCCCCCTCAATCTATGCATAACCTTTATATCTTCCCCCTTTTGACATTAACAAAAAGAATTAAAAGTAAACTTTTATTCATTAAAAGGAAAATGCAGAATACAACGGATAAAAATACAATCATATTTAATAAGTAGAGAATAAAGAAGATGTCGTGGCATCGGTGTTGGCCTTCTTCTTTGAAGCCTCGGTTTTGGTCCTTGACTTTCCTATGGCCATTGTTGAAGCGTTTAGAAAGTGAGTAGAAAACAAGGCTGCCTTCCCAGCGATGGTAGAACTCACCCATCGATGGGAAGGTGGCTACTGGAAATCCGAGAAGACGCTTAAAAAAATAGTGTCAAACACCCAGCGATGGGAGAAAGTTTCCATCGATGGGTGGGGAGGTTCTGAAAAAAGTTTTGAAACTGAAATCATTCACCCAGCGATGGGATAAAAGACCCATCGATGGGTAGGGTGTTTCTTGAAGAAAAAAATTCGACAAAAGTCCTTCACCCAGCGATGGAATGAAATACCCATCGATGGGTAAGGTATTTCTGGAAATCCGTTAAAAAATAGAGTCAATTACCCATCGATGGGAAGAAGCACCCATCGATGGGAAGAGGGGTTCTGAAAAAAAAGAAAACTTCCCTCCCAGCGATGGTATTGCCCACACATCGCTGCCCTGATTTCCAGAATTCTTCACTTTGAACCCCCCTAAGATACACATGATAAAAATGTGCCCTGAAAAAAGGAATTTGACTTCCGTTGTTTTTTTCCGGAAGACAATTTCAGTAAGCGTCCGTCTCCTCTCTCCAACCCCATTCACTCACTCTGCATCTGGTTCCGAAAAAATACATATCCGTCTCCTCGCCTTATCCCTTTTGCTCTGCTTCTGGTTTCGATCATCACAGCAAGGAGAACATCACCCTTTCTGCTTTGCTTTTGGTTCCTTCCGTTCCCCAAAACTTCCGTCCCCATCACCGCTGGCCATCATCACAGCAAGGCAAGGAGCACATCCTCAAGGTACCAGATCTGTTCTCTAGTTTGTACCCATTTTTCTCCCATTTTGAATCCTAATCGAGGGGGTGTAGCCAAACATCAAAAATAAGGAAAATGACTTGTGGAAAAATAACTCATTTTCCAAAAGTCATTTTCCAGAGATCATTTTCCTCATTTCCCACCTTTCCAAACGGACCCTTATTAGAGAAGAATAGAAGGTGTAGTTACATCAGTAATGATACAATCACAAACTAAATGCAGTAAAGAATGCAAAGAATTAAAGCTAGTGAATTGAGCATGGAGAAGTATATATACTGTGGCTGGGAGAGTAACTTGAACCTCTGCAATGTAGGGATTGGTTACCGGAAGAGGAAGAGAAATAGCAACCATTAGTTCTCCTTTAGGGTTACACAGAATAACACCATCTACTGCTGAAAGATGACCCAAAGTTGTATCTGTATTTAACTTAAGTTTACCCGGGGGAGGTAACATCCATTTCAAAACCCTTACATGACCCAAACCCTTTCAAATCTATTGCAATTTCTAGCAATTTTTGAATCATTAAATCTATAAACGGAGTAATTTACGTGTTTTTATACTAGTACTTGAAAACTTGTTTCCGTGCACTTTTTTTTGTTACAATAAGGCTATTTAACTCAAATATTGCATTATTGGTGATATAATTAGAGACCCATATTTCTAAATTTACTTTACTTCTGTGTCATGTGGTGATGCCATAAATGCGCCATGGCCATTTCCGCATCAAAATGGGTCATCGCCACCGTTACTGCCATGTGCCATGACAACTATGTACACAGGGTACAGAAAGTGCAACTATGTCAAACAGAAAAGCATGAAAAACACCCATATCTGTTAATCTTGAAGCTTTATGGCCATTTTTCCAGTTTGTGTTACAAAATCCATGTCTCCATGTCTTTGTGTTACTTGAGGCTCACATTTTTTTATATTTCAATTTACATCTATTTTCAGTTACTTTGTGTTACTTAATCCATGTCTCCATGTCTTTTAGTTGCCATTAAACATTCTAGAGGATTTTTGTGGATATCATCGAAATGGAGGCACTTTATGCAAAGCTCTATAAAAATTACACTAAGCTCAAGGTCAGTCTCTGCTTTGTGTCAGTTTCATTCTTCCTTTTCCCTGAGGCAAATACGTCCATGGTCCTCAGGTCCATTCCAATTATATGGACCTTGCTTATGTGGACTCCTTAGTATTAGTATTAGGATTACGATTAGATTAGGGGATTAGGATTAGAATTAGAATTAGGATTAGGGGATTAGAATTAGGATTATGATTGGGGGGTTGGGGGATTAGGATTAGCATTAGGTACATTAGCTTGGGTGAAATGGGCGGGCCTTTTTCCATATAAGCTTCTAAGCCCAACAACTTTTGTGATAAGGTCCAAGAATTAGGCGTGGACCTTGGGTGCACGGAATCACCACCCTTTTCCTAAATTCTTGTAACATCCTTAAAAAAATCTTTGTTTGGATGACAGGAAGCAAATGCAGAGATGGAGAAGCTAAATTGTGAACAAGAAGAGAAGTTATTGAATCGTATATCTGGTGAGTAATTCAATATATTCAAACCCGCTGTTTTTTTATGTTTTCATTCTGTGGTTATGTTTCTTGATAGTGTGCTATTCTCTTCTTCTCTGTTTAAGATCCCAGGTAGCTTTTGAATGGATCAATATTATAATAATATAATGCTATGTTACTCCGAAAACTTATATTCCATAGGGAGTGAAATTTTATGTTATTCCTTGTTTGCAAATGTTTTCCAAATAACTGTTATAGTTGTTTTAGCAAAATTTCAGTGGACCATTTTCGCTTAAAATGACGGTTTATTTTTCTGGTTCAGCTTCTGATAAATTGATAGACTCCTTAAAAAGTGAAAGAGATGAACTGTGCCAGCAAGTGCATGAGTTGAAAAGTGAATTGGTTTCACTGAGGTACCCTTTCTCCAAGCCTCCCCCCCCCCCA